GTTCTATAGGGTCACTATGAACCTGAAATGACTAGATGGCAAAAGAGGGGTGTGTGTGTGTGTGTGTGTGTGTGAGTGAGAGAGAGAGAGAGAGAGAGAGAGATGCCATTTGGGAATGGGTGTCCTTTGTTATGTTGATACAACAGTGTCGGTGTAGGATGTGTCTTCAATCTGCCTATTTTGAGATATAAAGGAGTTGATTAAGCAAGTAAACACAAATGGGAGGGACCATACAGGCCATGTGATGGCCAAGAAGACAAGGAATAGAAGCAGAAAAACAAGGGCTTTTCCTCAGAACTCATGAGAGAGCTTTCCCCTAGAGCTGGCACTCTGAATTTCGACTTCTACCCTCCTAAACCGTGAGAGAGTACATTTCTGTTTGTGACAGTCACCCACTCATGGTACTTCTGTATAACCAAAAAAAAAAAAAAAAAACCAAACTCACTGCCATCGACTCATAGCGACCCTTCCTTGGGTTTCCCAGATGGTGTTTCTATGGAAGTAGATTGCCCAACCTACCTTCCGAGGAGTGGCTGGTGGGTTTGAACCACCAGCCTTCCAGTTAGCAGTCAAGTGCCTTAGGCACTACACCACTAGAACTCCTTCTAGATAGCTAAGATGCACCATTTACTGATGAGCCAACCAGTCCACAGAGTTAGTTGAAATCTCAAGGAAGTATATGGCTCAAAAAATGGTTTTGAAATACTATGTTAGATAAAATATGGACTGAACATTGCTCTGTGAACTCATCTGACTACAGTTATGAAATCTCATATGTGAAGGAGAGAAGTAATGAGTCCTTCCATGCGGTGACACTGTTTGCTCATGACAGCCTCAATCCTGGTGCAAAGTAGTGATGGCCAGACTGTCATTCTGCACTGACTTCGTGTGGGGCCAGCTTGTTCCACAAGACAGCAGAACCGAAAGAAGTTTATGATGCCCTTATTGGGGGTACTCTATTCTTGTGTAAGTGATTTAGATAGACCAGCCTCATCCATGCCAGACAAGAATGGCTTGCTTTAAAGATGAACTGAGAATTTTCCCCAAAATTCTCACATTGTTATGATTATATCATCTTGAGAAAAGAAGAAACAAAATTATCCTGAATACATCTTAGCTTAAAAATACCACTTGCTGTATAGACAGTAAAGCTTATTAGTGGTTACCTGGTGCAGGAGGGAAAGGGAAGGGGGAGTCATTTCATAGGAAGCATTGTTTTTGTTTATGATGAGGGGAAATTTGGCAATGGATATAGTGATGGTTGCACAACACGATTATTGCAATTG